AGCCACCCAGGCGCCCGAGAAAGAGAATCTTAAGCAGGCTCCATGCCCAGTGCTTACGCAGGGCTCGATCTCACAACCCTGAGATCATGACCTAGCTGAAATCAAGAGCCAGACGCTCAACCAACTCAGCCACCCAGGCGCCCCTTATCGCTGACATTTTAAGAAGAGTACCAAGGAACACTCTTCCATTATCAGACAGGGGAAATTCCACCATTTTAGTCATTCCCAAGTGGAATTTCATCTTGGGGGTCATCTCATTATCTCACTACACAATTAAAACAAAAATTGTAATTTTTAGTTGGTGGTTTAAACCCCTAAGTAGAGACCCGAGGAGAAAACACTTCTCTATAGCCATAGAAAGCTATTTTTTTCTTTCTCAAGTTCCTTAATCATAGTCAAGTTATATCCACCATGCTCTGACCAATTTCCTGGCCGAGGTCTGGCCCTTCAAATTTCACACAAGCTTTCACAACATAAGCATGCAGTAAGAGCTTCATATTTACAATTCATGAAAGGGATACATGCATCCGTACACAGTCCACCTGTGGACTATTCCCTCCCAACTTTCAAATCTGATCAACCAAACTAAGTCTGTTACTTTGCCATCTATTGACCACAACACCAGTATTAATTCTAGTCCTAACTTTGAACTGACGCTCCAGTATGTTTATAGATTAGAATAGTTTTCCACTAAAAATTAATTATACACCCATATATTTTTCCACAGTTGTCACTGTGAATATCATGTGAATTTAGAGCACAGCAGCTTTTCTGGAATTCAGTGTATGTATCTAGTATAATTAATCTAGGGCAGGAATTGAGAACCCACAGCCTCGACTAGAACATGTTACTTACTTTCTCTGTATGTTATCAGATACAACCTGATCAATATACTCACTTTGAGTAGTATGTATATAGCGAGATTTTGCGTTATACTTCTCCTACAGTCAATCAAGCAGTATTCTACAGACCAAAAGACTGAATCATGATTAACAGTCAAGGTGCAAAAGGTAATGTCTCTTGACATGCTTGATAAACCTGGTCTCAGAGCTCAGCTGTATTCCTGTATGCACCAGAGATCTTTTCTCATACCTTCTGTTTATTTTTCAAAAGATATAACTAACATAGCTACAGAAGTCTGGAAAGAGGGAGCTACTGTGGTTTTTTGTCTGTAAGCTTCTGGATACTTTAAGTAGCAGTTGCCTGACAATTCTGGGCATATTCCTAAATGAGTCAAGAAATGTGACAATAGCACAGCTACAGTGATGCGGTTAAGTGACTCAAATGATTCATCTGAAATTTAGCAAGTTCCACATGGATTTAACTTAAGTACATACTTTTTTTGGCAAATGCCAAATATATGAAGGAAGAAAAACATTTCTCCCAAAGTGAGTAAAATGTGAAAGAAGGTATGTTGTTTTCACTTTATTCTCTCACTCCAGCTCCTTCCCTTCTGCCCTCTTCCCTCTCCCTACCTCTCCAATGACTTAACTAGTTAAGTGACTCTTCTTGTTTAAAAAAAA